GCAGTCTCAAACACAACTGGATTGAGGTAGATGTAGGCTGCTCTGTAGCATAATCTACATCTTCTCTTGTGGAAATATATGTCTCATGCTATAATATCATCATGCAAAAGAGTATCTCATACTAGCAACGGGCTCTGTGGTTGAAGAGTCACAACAAATAGAAATATTGCTGCTGTACTTGGTCTCAACAGTCTTCTACAAAAACTAGAGAGCATAATCTATAATGCATAGATTTGGGTTTCACCTCAGAAAGACTGTAACACTATCCAATCTGTGATGGAAAAAATCCACTCCTACAGAGAAACACAGTGCAAAGTGATTAAATTACTTCAATACTACTTTCAACCTTTTGAATGCACTAGGACTTATCATTATACTGTAAGAGTCAATCAGGCAATGCTCAAATTAGGTTATAACCATTGGGAGAGACAAATTGGCATTATATGGACAGAAAAGATTGCAAATTCTATAACCCTCAGCTAAGGAATGGGGAAGCCAATATCCCAAAACAGAGCATAAACCCCAGCAGAAATAGCAAAGACATGCATCTTCATCTCATGGTCCAGGAGAAATATGAACACTGCCCACTAACCAGAGACAAACCAGCAATTATGTTGGTATCACAGCATAGGATGCCAAAAAAATTGGGATATTTGTCAGCATGTAACCCTTCAGCCCCACAAACTATATATTATGGTAGTGTTTTTACTCTATCAATCAGTAACTCATTCCACAGGGTATCAGATTAGGAGTGGGGCAATTCAACCAGAGCAAAAGTCATGTGTAACAATTATGTGCTCCTGATACAATAATTATAACATGGTCAAACAAGAGAAAGGCCACATATGCCTCAAAGAGCCAAGGTGGCGCAGTGGTTAAATGCAGCACTGCAGGCTACTGCTAGATCAGCAGTTCAGCGGTTCAAATCTCACCGGCTCAGGGTTGACTCAGCCTTCCATCCTTCCGAGGTGGGTAAAATGAGGACCCAGATTGTTGGGGGCAATATGCTGACTCTCTGTAAACCGCTTAGAGAGGGCTGAAAGCCCTATGAAGCGGTATATAAGTCTACTGCTATTGCTATAATTCAAAGATACATTGCCATGCCCACAGGAGACTTCAAATATTTTTACATTTCTTCAGTCTGATGACCTCCTCAAGAACTGTTTGATCCCAATTCCCAATCAAGTGGCTACTGGCCAAGCTGGACAACAATGATGGGAATAGTTGTTTAGCATATTTAGAAATGATCAATGTTGCCCTATTGTTCTTTTAATTGTTTCCTGCCTTCTACCTAGGTTTGAAAGGCCAATGTAAAGTCATGCATTAATCAGAGGAAGCTGTTTGGAATATTATTTACTTATGGAGGGGAGGAATGATTTAATTTTAGAAAACAATAAAGTTGCACACATGAAGAACCTTACCAACAGCAGGAAATGCCATGCAGGCAAGAGCACATTAAGAAGCACAGGCTGAAGGAGGAAGTACAAGAAATACAGTCAAAGAATTGGTGAGATTTTCTTGTGCTCAACTTGACATCCTCTTCTTTATGCATGCTTCACTTCCTCAGTTGTGTTTATCAGATGAAGCTGGTGGTTTCTGGGTACATTCATGGTGAGCTTGCAGCTCAGAGGTCTGTTTTACAGAGTAAATGTGCAGTACATACTTCCTTTGTGGTTATTTTCCTCCCTGTTTTTCTTCCTATGTTGGTTTCTCCACTTCATGACCCACAGAAATAACATTACATAGAAAAAAAAAGTTCCATCATCAACTTTCGGATTTTGTTTCCTGAGTTTAAAGAGCAAGACTTCTGAGTATTTTTTTTCCAGCTGAACTTGCTGAAGAGGAGTGGATGTATCTAAGCCTTTCCTATTCTGTGGCATGTCTTATTCTGGGAATCTAAACAATCACCTGCAACAATCAATCATGTGAATTGATTACTAATTGTGCACATCAATTTGTTCATAAATACAGCTTCCCAATGAACATAAAGCAAGTTCTTCATAGAAAGCTAACTCCATATGTTCAATCATGGAACATCTGTAAAAGTAGTTAAGTCCACGTTATTATTCATTTACGTCATAAATTTAATACTTAAAAAAAGATTGTAGACAACTGCTCTTCCAACATCATATGCAAATAGTTAGAACATTAGAGGAAACATATTTGGACTGCAAAACTCCAGTAACACCAGTTGGTACCTAAGGAATGTTCCTATATACTATTTGGTGGTCCTTTGAATTTTTGCAGATCAGACATTGTAGATTTACCATGGTGCTGCAGGAGAGTCCAAACCCGCCCAGGGTTTATTGTGGTGCCCAAGATTCTGCATCACGATCAAGATACTTGAAGGGCGTCCTACAGCAGATAAGACTTCGTTTTTAAACTGCCCTCAATGAGGCAAAGGAGGTGTGGTCAAAGAAAAATCTACTCAGTCCTAGGGCAGATAGACTGTGTTTAACTGTATTTAAAAAAATGAACTAAAACAAACAATACTTCCTCCCACTTTACTTCTAGAACTACTTAACTACTTTCCCTCACAAGGTGTTTTATTTGTAATGGTGTTCTGCTTTAAGTATAATATTCTTAAGCTTAAAGCTTTAACTTGAAGAGACAACATTGGGCTCAGTCCATGCTCCATCTATGGATCAAGCAAAGAGTCCATTCAAAAGGGGAAATTCTGAGGCCTCCTGTGCAAAGCAGTGAGACTCCATGATATCTTCCTGACTTGGGGCCTTGAGATGATACTCAGTAAGAAAGATGGCTTTCCTCCAGCTAAGGAAATTTCCTTTGGCAGAAATGTCTTTTGAGTGTACATGCAGAAAAATTGACAAGGGCCAACTTGGTGATAATTGGTGATGCCTTACTACTTAAATCTATCTCTCAAGGATGGCAAGGAGTGAAGGAATATTTTAGAAAAAGCTTCCCCTAACCCCACTTGTGAATGTTTTGATTTGCTTGCTTTAGATTAAAACTATTCCTGAAATGCCTTTTTTTTTTTTTGCTATATACGTATTTGGATTTACATTTATGCAACAACCCAATAGATCTTACGATGTTAATTTGCAGCTTTGGTTGCGTTCCTACCCTCTCCTGGGAAACTAGCTAAGGAAATGGTGCAAGTATTGCTCCAGCAGGAGCCCACAATCATTCTGCTATCACACATTTCCCACATGTCACAAGAGTTGGATAGCATAACTGCTCTGCCTGAAGTGCAGGAAGGTAGCAGAGGTATACTCTGTTGGGATGAGATTCAAATGCCCATTTCCCAGTGACACATCTGCAGAAATGGCTTTACTTATCAACACAGGGTTGGCGCAGTGTCACTAACCCGTTTCCCTAAAAATAAACCCAATTGGGCTTTTGAGTGCATACGCTAAAATAATCCCTCCCCTGAAAATAAGCCCTTCCTGAAACTATTGCAACACAGCAGCAGCCATGAGGTGACCAAGCTCGCAGCTTCCTGACCCTCAAAAATAAGATGATCTCCCTGAAAATAATGCCAAGTGCTTATTTCAGGGGTCAAAAGACACAGAACCTCTATCATAGAGAATAGTCAAAAATCAGATCCTCCTGGCTTTGGTGAGAGGACAGTGAATGTGCTGCCACTATACCTATGATGGCAAACTTATGGCACGCATACCACAGGTGGCACACGGAGCACTTTGTTGGCACACGAGGCATCGCCCAGCTCAGGTCCACTGTGCATGCGGGTGCACCTCCCGCTAGCCAACTGATTTTTGGGTCTCTGTTGCTCATGTGGGAGATGTGTGCATGTGTGGGGGGTAGAAGGGTCATGTGCATATATGTGGGGGAGTGCTGGGGGAGGTTTGGCGCCCCCCCGGCCCGTTTTTGGTCACAGGAGGCTTCAGGGAGGCCTGCTAGGCCCAAAATGGGGCATTGGGGGTGTGTGTGATTTCGGCACGCAAGGACAAAAAGGTTAGCCATCACTGCACGATACCAATGGATCTTCTTCTCTCCATCTTTGCCGTAAAATGAAGCCATGATTGCTCTGTTCAGTGAGATGATTCCACCTTCATCTGAATTACTGAGAAATGTTTATTTAAAAAGCTGTGGGAAAGCCAAAGCTTTAAAAAATGTAAATAAATAGGACACCTCTTAAGAATTTGGAAAGCATTTTCAAACTTTATTTACAACTGTCACAGTGACAAAAGTAGTTTGAAAAAAATGCTAGCTTTTTCCCTGAGGCTCAAAAAAGAATTTTACAGAAATATAGAATGTAATATATAACAGGAAAAGTTCCACTGGAGTGCTTTGTTCCTCAGACACATTCAAAAGTGACAGAAATACAAGCAACAATTGTATCTTTTAAAAAAGCAGAAAAATGATATGCAAATATTCAAAGACAAACAACAACCCCACTCTGTCCTTAAAGCATTAAGGATTTTTGTTTTTCTGAGTTTGAGTGGTTAACATTTGACAACTTCAAACTGGGACAAAAATGGAGAACCAAAAAGTGACTTTTGAAGGGGAAAAAAATAGGGCAATTCAGGTTGGGTGCAAGTGTGAAAGCTCATTGTACTGAACACCAAGACAAGAACAGATTCAGGGATACAAAAAACATCTGGATCCATCCATTTTAAAGCAACCTTGACAAGGCAAGGGTGCAAGACAAATTTCAGTGATGCTCAAACACCCACCAAGACAGGTAGTATATGTGTTACAGGTTCTTGGCTGAAAAACACACACACAAGAACACCCAACTACATCCCTACAATCTCACATCCACATGTAACAATGATTCACAGCTGTTAAGTTATTGCCATTATGTGGAAAACACATGCGAGACGAGACTGAAAAAAGTAACCCTGCTGATTTCAACAAGCAACTCTAATCCATTACCAGCAATTTTACTACTCATGAGGTATCAAAAATAAGTGTACGTGTGTGTGTGTATGCGTGTGTCTTTTATATATAGCACATACATAGAGTTCCAACGAAGTAGGAAAGGAATGGAAAAGATCATGGGAAACGAAGGATTATTTTGACTATCTTGTTAAGGCTATAATGTTTATACATTACGAAGTTTTAGTTTCTGCAAAATTAATATGGAATCATTGGCTTTTAGTATCTGAAAGTCGTACTTGAAATTTCAACTTTGCAGAACTTCCTGCCAAGAAGCAAGATACTATTTTTTCTTTTTAATGAGGCTGCCAATTTAACTTATCCAACTATTTGTTTGCCTTCTCGGAGGAGAGATATGGGGCATGAGGAAAGAGATTATAATGGGGAATTTAGAACCTGTGAACAAGATAAGTCAATAAAAAAAAATCCTTGGTTCAAAAAAAGTGTTATCTTCTTCACAATACTGAGATACTGTAATACCTTTTGTTTTTGAAGATAAGCCCTGCTTTCACCCTCCTGCTTTTAAAGGGGATACCAATTATCTTAAGGTCTTCCTAGTTAACAGCCTTGGTTGGCCCTGTACTATTATCATGAGCTCTTGATCCAGCATTAACACATGACTAAATTTATAAATCAGTCCTGATGAAAAAGCCGTATTTCACAGCAGCATTGCTGACGGAGAAAGTTAAACAGCAGCTTCAGTAGCAGGAAAGAAAATATACTTTTTGTTTTCCATGTCAAAATCTCCTGAAGTTTTTTCTGAAGAAGCATTTCTTCCACAATCCCACCTCCCAAACAAAACAAAATGTGACTGTTTACAGCCTAAACAAGATAACTGCAGAACAAGTAGTAAAGGCCATTTCTACAGTCAACAGCACAATGGCCATACAAAGCTATTCACTGCGATGTTAAAATGCATGCCTAAAGAGGTGCCAAGAAAGGAAAAGACATTAAAAAAATATAGTTTATGTGCAACAGGTGAGCAAGCCAATGCTGGAGCCTGCAGCCTAACAAAGATGGTGTGACTTTAAGAGGACACTAGGCTGCAGAAGGCCAACCTAGTCATTGACCCATGGCTCCTCTCTGGAGTTCTGCAGGAAGACTGCCTAATGGGTCATAGGAGCATTTCATTGGCTTGTCTTCCAGCCTCTAAACACATGCACACATAAAACCAGAAAAAACACTATGAGAAGGCAAGGTTTTGAGAGATGAACACTATTCTCATGCATTTGTAGCCAGCGGCAGTCCCTTACAGAACTCAGCTGCATTTATACTTGCAGCTATTTCTTCTAATACCACACACTTCAGAAGAAGCATGTTTCCTGCTGGCCTATTCCTCCACCAAAGCGCCCTCTAATTTCCTGGCTGCCCCAGGCAACCACCACAGAATTCAACAATGATCTTGAGAAGGGCAATCATTTTGGCTTCCTTTGCCTGCCCAAACTTTCTTAGTTTTAGCTGGAGATTGTCACGTCAAGCGCTTCAGTTCTCAATAGAGAATATGAAAAAAACTAAGATCTTGCAGGTGCAAAATTGAATGTCTTTTGTAGAAAAGACACTTCAGAAAGCTGTTCTCTCTCCCTCAAGATGGCCTAACATCTTGAGTAGAACAGAAGATCTTCGGTGTTTTTATTGTTCCTTGCTCTCTTTCTTTGCTTCATCACAGTTCTGTTCCTCTTCTTCCTGAACCAGGAACTCCTCAGGTGGCCATCTTAATTCTCCACTCTCCACATCTCCTTCTGTTGGCTCCACCACAATGGAAGGGAGGCGGTCCTTCAGCTTACAATAACGATCAAAATCTGAAGGGTCAGGGAAAATCTGAAATGAGAGATTTACAGTAATCAATATCTCCAATCTAATGTATTTTAATTACATTTTCATTTATTCACAGCTATCCAAGTATCCTCCTATAAACTTCAAAAATGAAAAATGTTTTAATCTTATGTCCATATTACTATTATTAAACTGATATGATACCTTATTGTAAGATTTAGAGCATAATAGGTAGCTGAGATTCTAAGGCGATTTTTTGTTGCTTTCCTTAAGTGATTATTTTAAAGCCCTCCAGATGTTATTGATCTACAACTCCAAGCAGCAGGCATGAACACTGGTAAGGAATGCTAGCAACAATGTCTAGGGAGCCAGAGGTTCCCATTAGTTTATCTTTGCTTACTAGTTGGCTGGCAGGTAAAAGAACTTTGGCACTAATGACACTTACCCACTTTGGCACTCATAGCAGTCAAAAGATCACCACATCCCAAGGGAATGCAGTTTTCACAGCTTGATTTAAAGTCAACACATTTTTGACTGAAAACAAACATACCTTTCATGCAATTTGGACAAGATCTATCTTCAGTCAATGGGCAAATTACAAGCTGTCAATGACATTCTTCACATTCAGGCTTTTTAGATGACACATTCTATATAGGCTGGCCTTGAAGACAAGCATTTCATGAAATGTTCAAGTAACACCACAGTTCCACTTGCTTACAGGGTGAGTTTTAGGTGGAATCTAAGGTTCTGATGATCACTTATGAATCCCTACATGATAGTATAGGTTATTTATGAGTTGTTTGCCTTTGCTCATTTGGCTAGACCCAATAGGATGGGTAAGTTCTCTTCTATGGAGCACTGCCATCTAGCAGGATACAGGAGATACGCCTTTTCAATCATAGGCACCTGCCCCCATGGAAAAGACATTCCTCTCAAAGTCTAGACAAGCTTGACCCTGTCAGTCTTTCTTAAGGTGCCAAAGGCTTTGCTTTTCCTAAGGTCTGGTGGGTTACTAGTCTGCTATTTGATTGGCAAAATAGAAGGGATTTTTTTGGACCTCATGAACATTGCACTTGAATATTATATTTTTTTAAAAAAATGTTTACTCAACTGCTGTATTTGTGAGATATTGACCATACAAATGGTTAAACAAGGAACTCTTTGTGCATTTTGTACACAAAGGACATTCAGAAAACTGATCTTCAAGTTACTCTAATGTCTATAAATAAGTATCAAATGTGATTATACTGCACAAAGGATCCAAAATGCAACAGATGTCCTGCCCATCAACTTCCTGAAACATCACTATATATAGTTCAGTTCTGGAGCTAGGCCTAGGTCATCCATAATGTATGAATTATGGTAATGTTTGACTAACTGGACATCATCAGGCAACTCACTATGTTATGACTCAAATTCTCCTCTTGGAAGGATTGTTCATCTCTATGCCTGATACTCCACTGGATTCTTGCCAAGATCAGATCATACACAAGTATACTTTCAGCCATTACATTAAGTAACCTACCATTTTACTCTGGCCAGGTTAGTACTGCCAGATGTTACTGTTGCCAAACCAGCATCTTGACAATTCCACTGGCCCACTGTTGGAGCTCTTTGCAGATACTCAACAGATACCATTTCCTTAGTAAGCTTTTTGCTGACCCTGGTGTTCCCAGATGTTTTAGACACTAAGTCTCAAACCAGCACATGCATTTGACCTAGAGATATCTAAGAGCTGCATTCTAAGAAATCTGAGTATTATATAAATATCCAACTATTCTGCTACCTAGATATTTTTCAAAACTTCAGATAACACTAATATCTATTAAAGCTCATACGGAAATAATGGCAATATTATTGTCTGATCTATTCCATCCTAGGCATTTTATAAACTATGCTGGAGTTTCCATCTCACCATTAAAACACACCAGATGACCAAATAGCCCTGCATGGATTCTACAACTTGTGTATAAAGCATCAAGTTTCTATCCCCATTCAAGAGAGGGGAAAATGTTGGCATTTATTAAAAGTTGCTTTCCTCAGCAGAGCATTTCCAAATTGTTCAGCACTACAATTCCCATTATCCTCAACTAACACTATCAGGTGCATTTGGGGGAAGAGATAAACTGCAGCCAAGCCCAAAGTTCATAATTTGGATAAGACAATATGCATCCTCGTTAAGAGAACAACACACCTCCTATATCTACAACAGCAGCACAGGACAGAATAGCATTAATCTTTTGTTATGGTAAGAACATTAGGTCAAAGTGGAATAGCTGTTTGGAAAATATGCTGACCTACCCCATTTTAAAGTAAGGAATAAATGATTTCTTTAAATAAACAGCCCCCAAATATATATGTTTTGTGTGTGATTTAAATAGCCTGAAGAATCTTATCTGTAACAGCTGCAGAGATAGAGGAGGTCAGGATTTTTCCACTAAGTCATGCTTTTTAAAAATAATCAAGGAAGCATAAAAATGAGATGTTGCAATTGCACTCAAGGATTAAGGATGGCCCAATGGAAAATAAATGAAGTCACATTTCCCAGCACATGATAGAGAAACAAGGATAAGCTGTCAATAGAAGCAAAGAAACAAGAGCCTTTGCATAATGACATTTTAATCCATGAAGATATTCTACTGAATATTGCTTGCACTCGTCTCTTTATAAGAGGAGGAGAGACTTAAAAACTATCTCTGTAGTTTTCAGAGCTCAGCATTGGAGTCAACATTGTCTTCCTCTCTGAATGTTAGCTGTACAGCTAGTCCTCAAATTATCCTCAAGTTAAGCCCAAAATATATGCTAAACCTTTGTTAAGCGAGTTTGCCCCATTTTACGACTTTTCTTGGCACAGTTATGATGTGAATTGTTGCATTTGTTAAGCTAGTAATATGGTTGGTAAATGATTTCCTCATTTGCTTGTGAGAAGATTGCAAAAGCTGATTACATGACCCCAGAACCCTGCAACTGTCATAAATATGAACCAGTTCCCAAGCATCTGAATTTTGGTCATATGACCCATGGGGATGCTGCATTGGTCGTAAGTGTGAAAAAGTCACTTTTTCAATGCTGTTGTAACTTTGAACGGTTACTAAATAAACTGTTGTAAGTTGAGGATTATCTGTACTTGAACCTAGCCTCTCCTTGAATTCAATTCCCGAGGACTACTTGCAAACCCTATAGTTTTCTTGCAACTTGATTTATCGCAGCTTTCATCCAGGATATACTTTTTCAATTTCTCAGTTAAGTCTACAACTCATAAGAACTCATGTTGGTTTCCTATCCAAGTCGAACCAGATTCAATCCTGGTTAATGCTGGAGATCAGCTGTGAGGTACTAGTAATCTGCTGTAGACAATTATTCTCTGCCGTCCACAAACATATTGAGTCTACAGTATCTATCAAGATTAATTCCAAAGTGCAGATTTTATAGCTGAAATATAGACACCTATCCTTCCACTTCAACCCATCACTTTTTTTTTTGTTGTAGCTTGCTCGTTGCTAGAATCCTGCACACTCTTTAGAGCCATTCTGGTCAGCCAAAAGCAAAGCAAGTTATAGATTTTGTACCTTTTCCCCAAAAGCCGCTTGTTATTGTCTACCACATTCCTTTTGTTCATTTTTCTGGAGAAGATTTATTGCAAATTCTCTTTCTACTCTGCGTTTTATGTAATTTTTCACTAACCTTCATCTATGGCAGCAATAACATTTTTTTTTTATACAACTAAACATTTAAACAAACTCTTTCTCAGGCCACAGAGACATAAGAAGCAGACTGGTAGATTGTGAATGTGCTCTGTGGCTGCCATAGGAAGAAGAACCAAAGGTCAGAAAAATCACTTAACTGTTCAAATACAGTAACCAGTAACCGTTATTTTTATTGTTATTTAATTGGAATATTCACAGGTAATAAGAATACTTATTTGCTAGGCCCCTCAAAGAGGAGAAAAAAAAGAAAATTCAAAACTTGAAGATAGACATCTTTTCCTGTGCCAAGTGACACCACACCCCCTTCCTCTAGAATTGACTGAACCTAGCCCCAGAATGGAAAAAAATGCTTAACCAAGCCTTGCTAGTAAGGTAACCAATAATACGGAGAAAAGGTTTTAAGCACCTAGCTAGACTACTGACTGTGTTTAGAGGTTTTAGAGGTTTTATTCAACTTATATGCCGCCCTATTCCCGAGGGACTCAGGGCAGCTAACAAAACCGAAAGGGAAGGGGAACAATACAAAAGGAAAGAAAACAAAACAAACAACAATACAGAAGCAATTTAAAAGGTCACAACAAGCACACCAAGTTCGAGTGTGGATGGAACTCAGCAGCCCCAGGCCTGCTGGAACAGCCAGGTCTTAACGGCTTTACGGAAAGCCTGAAGGGTGGTGAGGGTACGAATCTCCACAGGGAGATCGTTCCAGAGGGCCGTAGCAGCCACAGAGAAGGCCCTCTTCCGGGTAGTTGCCAGCCGGCATTGGCTGGCAGATGGAATTCGGAGGAGGCCTAGTCTGTGGGATCTAATGGGTCTTTGGGAGGTAATTGGCAGGAGGCAGTCTCTCAAGTACCCAGGTCCAATACCATGTAGGGCTTTATAAGTGACAACTAGCACCTTGAAGCGTATCCGGAGACCAATAGGCAGCCAGTGCAGCTCGCAGAGGATAGGTGTAACGTGGGTGTAGCGAGGCACACCCACGATCGCTCGCGCGGCTGCATTCTGGACAAGCTGAAGTCTCCGAACACTCTTCAAGGGCTGCCCCATGTAGAGTGTTCTAGTCCATACAGTCCACAAGACCTTCACTGAGATTAGCAGTAGTAGGTAGGGGCATATTTATTCAGTGCTATCTTGATTGCATTGTCTGGTTGCAACCCCAGGCATATGAATCCTGATTAAGTCAACCTACCAGAGACACATTAAGACTACCTTTTGCCACCCCATTAGGATGACAAAAGCAGCAGCCACAGGTCATCCAATTGGTCCATTTTGCGTTTGATGAACACCAGCAATATTAACAGTTCAGAGGTTTGGGTGTGGTGGATCTCAGGAAGATTT